ATTTTTACACTAACACGAAATCACTGATAATTGCTGCTCTAATGCGAATTTGAACTAACAGTACGGCCTGTGATTTTACCCTTATTTATTGACAGATTCCCACCCCCAGGTTGGGTGGAGTTTGAGTCAAATTTTCCCCAGATTCTTCGCGTAGGGAGGAGCTTGTAATAAGCTCCAGCCCTGAGTTCTACGAATTTGAGAAAGTTCTCGTTGGGCGGTAGAACGTCGTACTTGAATAGGATGATCGGAATTTGGGTCAGCTTTTGTACATAAAATCTTCCTTTTAAAACTGACGGGCGATGCCCTTGAAACGGTCCCCAATAGTTCCGCATGATATCCTATCGCTACTGTACATGTCAACCTTTATCTGCACGGCTTCTATGTCCACTTTGGTGGTCGTTTAGAATTTATTGGTTTCGTTATTTACTTACGTCTTACACTTGTTAGTTTGATAATGTTGGTGTATTCGAGTCTGAATATTCGAATATTCGAGTTATGACTACACATAATTATTCACTTTTTGAATATTCGAATATTCGAATACTCGAGTTATTCGAGTTTGATTCCGAGCCCTACTTTGAAGTCGAAGGTTAGAATGGGTGACTTGATTGTCCCAGAACGATTACTGATTACTTGAATAGTCGTTTAGGGGCTTGGTTCGGTATTCGTTACTTCGGATACTGATGAGTAACGAGTACTCGAATACCGATTAGTTACTGTTTCTCACCACTAGTGACTGCTATATTTTAAGACTTTAAAATATGTATAATTATATTCGATTGATGCAAATATCTTTATATGCAGTTTGTATACTTTTACAAAATAAGTTATTCATATTCTACAGGTAAACATATACATATATGTAATTTGCATTAAATTCTGGTGTAGTTTCCAGCACACTCGCTGATCTGTGTGACCACGTGTGTTTAATTTTTAGGGATAGAAAGACAAATGGGCAAATAATGAGAGAAATATTCAAGGCAACATAAAAGACAATGGGAGCAGGAAACTATATTTCGAAGTGAGAACTAAACTAATACAAAAATTATTAATATTGAATATAAACTACCGCCGTTCGGGGCGAAAAGCTTTAGGTTAGAATAAGGCATACGATGTGACTTGAAATCACAAGATGTTAGTAGCAGTAAGAAGTATTGTAAAACTTGTCTGAAATAAATATGTTCAAAAGCAAGTCGGGACGAAAAACAAGTATAATTTTGATAAGAAAATTTTCAATAAAATAATTTTTTAATATGTAGTAACACTTTCAGTTGCAGGAAGGCAAAGAGTTATTTTCATCGTAAAAATGTACAGGTATATGTGTTTACCTGTAGAATAGGAATAGTTTATTTTATACAATCTGCATATAAAAATATTTGCATAAATCGAAACATAAGTATTGTAAAACTTAAAATATATTCTAAACCAAACATCAAACCAAACAAAACGCATTGTCGATCAGCACACTGACCGCAATCCACCCGACCTACAACTTGGTACAAACGTGCCAATTCAGCTACACATATCCATTCACAACCTTACATAAACACACGGCTGAATGTCGAGCAGCGTGTCTGCTTTCATAACACTACGTGAGAATAAACAACTCATCGAAAAGCCGAATACCACACGTAATATCAACACGGTTTTCATACACAAGGCTGAATGACCAGGCGTGCGAATTTCCACAACACAGCCGCGATTAATTTGTCCAGGTACGCACGTTTGAAAAACAAGCACAACCTTCTGGTTTTGTATAAAGGCTGCACAGAATACTAACCCTCATCAGTTCTGTGCAGCTCGTCACAACCAGCAAGTCGTAAGTACCATCATTAAGTTATCGTGTACAAATAACAGACCACCTCCCTAAACCCACCCATGCCAGCAGTATGAACACTGCACCCACTGCCCACACCACCAATGGGCACGGCAGAAAGAGAAAGCGGGCCTCTCCCTCGAAGATCAAAAGGGATGCACTGAGAGCCAGGCTGCACGTCGAAAAGAAAAAAAAAACAAGCAACGGCACCCACAACCCGCTTGCAGCCAGGTCACAAACCCCCAGGGTACCAACAGATGCCAGTCGCAGAAAAATAAGGCTCGCTACCCTTATAA